TGATTTCTTTTATTTTGTCACCTAGGAACGTATCCCCTATAATCTCATATAAATTACCATTCCGTTATACCGGTTTCTGTATTCACGGCATTTTTATCGAACGTATACCCCTCGAATAAGAAGCTTTTACTGTATACAAAAAAACTATAGGTGCGTCTATATATTTTTATTTCGCAATTTTTTTTATAATTTTTTGTGATATGTTTTGTTTAATTTCTCAATTATTCAATTTAAATCACTTCTTTTCGCGCTTGCCAAATTTATTCTGTTTCACAGAAAGCCGTTAGCTTGTTTTTTCCTTTACACCGTTTATAAAAAAAGTACTACGTGTAGAGAATGAAGAGAGCACAGAGTTGCTTTTAATAAATAAGAAAAATGATGAAAAATTTGCTGTACATCGTCATCACTGTCGCTGGTATTCTGTAAAGTCCCTAAATTTTTACTTAAAATTAAGAGGTACATTAAAAATAATTGCAATGTTTACTTTATTTGTAAACAAAGTTTGGTTCGTATTTAAAAGTAGATAAAAGATCATTTTTTCATACAAAACGAAAAAGAAAGTTTAATATCGTATTTCATTCGTGATTGTATGATAAACGCACATATTTTCATTTTTTCAATTTTCTTCTTGCTTATAATATCTTATAGTACCTGTAATATCTCAAATATAGCATAAATATATAAATATAATATGAGTATATTAAAGTTACGTTCGGGTACAAAACAAAATTTCCTTATTAATAAAAAAAATAAAAGCAAAAATAATTTGAAAAAAATCCATATTCGATTTTTTGAAATCATATTCTATCGAAACCGTGTTACAACTGTCGAAAAGTTTATGGCATGTCCCGACGGATTGAAATTTCAAAATTTTTTTCGAGGTTGTTTTGCAATATAGCTATTCATGATAAGACAAATCAAAAATCTGAAAACAATCACTTTACAACAGCAAAGCAAAAAACGTAATTCTTTCTTATTGGTTTTCTTAACTAAAATAAAAATTTGATTCTTTTCAAAAAAATTGTAATTTAATAAAGAAATTTAAAATTTGAGCCATCCGCCTATCGCTAATTAAAAGAAGGAAAAAACAATTACGTATGAATAGATCTTTTTTTACAACTTAAGATACTTATTTAACACACTTTGTGCGTACAAAATTTAAACCATAAAAATGCAATTTCATTATTAGCAATAACCTAAAAAAAAACCTAAAAAGGTTATGGGAACTTGATTACCGAAAGATCAAATTATGTTATATATTTATGTTATATATTTGTTTTTCAAGAATTTTGCGACAATTAAGACAAACAAATTTTGTTGTTAGAAATATGCTGCCCGGCAATGAGCGACGTGTAGATAAATTAGGATCATGTTCGCGTTGTGCAAATGATGCTAAATCGGTCTCATAAGTAGTTATTCAAATTAAGACATTTGCACAGCATATCCCCAACGCTTGTAGAGTAAATTAAAGCTATTATTGTTTTGCGTGGTTGTTGGTCTAAAAGCGTCTGAAAGCGACGTGTAAGCTAATTCTGCGTACTTAAGATCCACGATCTTGCGCTAACAAGACATTTGTCGCCATGTTAATTACTATTCGCCGTTATTGCTATTTCGTAAACTATTATTGCGAATTCCAAAAAACATATTTCAAAAAACCCACTCTTATTGTTTCCACTGTGTGGAAATAGTGATAATAAAAATGTAATAATACGCGCAATACATAAAAAATAGAGGGAATTAAATATACTTACCGCCAATAAACTGTTGAAGCAATATTTTTAGAAATTTTTTCTCGAGACAAGCTTTTTTTTATCTCTTTAGGTTTTTTTGACGCCTTTTTTGGTATTTTTAGGGTTTTTTTACATTTTTTTTCCACAAGAAAAGAAATTTAAATTTTTTTTATTCCTTTCATTTAATTTTTTTTTTCTCAATTGTCCTTCTGCACTAAGTTAATTTTCTATTCACTTTTAATTTGTCAATTTTATTCAATTTAAATACTTAACTATTTATTTATGCTTCTCTATTTTGAAAAAGAAATATACATTTATTTTTGTTCCTCCTTTAAAATTTTTTTTTTTTTTTCAATTATTAACTACCGTGAACATCTAAGTCCACTTCTAAAATGAATTTGAGTTTATATAAACTTCGACTAGGCAAATTTTTTGGTAAGAACCGTTATCTAGTTTCCCCTTGTAATTTTCCATTTCATCATCATTAAAAATGCCGTATTTATTTTTGTGCACATGTAGTTTTATATATTTTTATGGTCGCTCATTTACTTACTCTTTAAAGTTGTGAAACTCGAAGTTCGTTCATTTATTTAATCTCTATAGTTGTGAAATTCGAAGTTCGCTCATTTACTTCCTCTCTAAAGTTGTGAAATACGAAGTTCCCCTTCACATAGTTTATACAAATTACCATATGTTTAGACTAGAGAAATCGCAGGGTTGTTTTTAATACCCGAGAACAGCCAATGCTATTGAGCAGCATATGAAATGGATCCATTAATGAAAGCTTCACCATCTGTTAAAGGTAATTCGCCCAGTTTCAGTTGCATAAAAACCAAAATCGTTCTCATTTCAAACTCAACTACCACGGATTATTTTCTATACATTCTACAGCTGTTTCATATTTCGAACTCAGCTACAATTTTTCATTTCGAGTTCAACTACTACGGGTTATTTTCTATACAATATGAAATCATTTCCCCATAACATTTGTTTTTCTGGTGTAAGGTTTGGAAGAAGCGAAATTTTTTGGTCTTGAATGTCTAGTTAGCCAATTAGAGAGTCAAATAATGCAAGCCAATCGACCATTGGATAATGTTCCTCTTACTCAAAGAGATGTAATTAAAGCTCTGATACAAACATCCCATTTAACGGAGTTGCGTTTCCAGGCTGTTAACTTAAAATTAGCCTATTTACGAAAATTAGATTTTAGGAATATAAATTTCAAGGTTTTATCAGCATATGTGCATATACATGCATAAACGATCTAGAATTCCAAACGTTAAAAAATAAAACCATTATATCAACTTTTAAACAATCAAAACAATTTAAAGCGTTACATTCCGGCAAAAGAGACCATTAAACATTCTACATTACTTCACAACAACGAGAATCATCACCACCTCTAAAGTAGGCATGTATAATCTCATGGAATGCGACCGCCAAAGGTATGGTATCCGAATTACCGATTGTTAACGGTGAAGGTCCGCGCGATGAGCCTATACCACTGATAGCAGTACGAAATTCTAAAGAACCAATACTGGCAGCACGATTCATAGCATTTATAGGAGCCAGACTTATGCGTCCTCTAGCTCCGGTCAATTTTTCAGCGTACAACTCTGTTTGCTTTGATATGGTTTACACTTGGGCCCAAGCATGTTAGTGTTCAACAAATCATCAAAATGCTTGCAAACTTGCGACTTCCAACCAGCAATCTTAACTCTCTACCATAAACTGTATAGGGTAAATGTAGAATGTTGTCCACCTCTCCTTTACTACCCTTTACATGCCGTAGATTCCGGCACCTTATAGGAAATATATGATGAAATTTTCAGTTACCTTATTTTATGTTTAAACTGTTGGTGACGTTATGGCCGGAGTATAGAAATTTTCAAAGTTGATCTATGTAATTAGGGTAAACCTCTATGTGCATGTGCGGCATTTACGCTAACGTTAAAGCGCTTTACATGCTATCAACTCAAAACTAATTACTTTGCCAATTCCGACCCTTCCGACATTCCGACCTTATACTTTTTCGAGTGAAGGTATATATATGTATATACATAAATATATGTCTTCATATATGCATAAATACTTTACAAGCGGAACATTACTCTTTTGAAGGTATCAGTTACGAACCTATTGGAAGCAAATATTTCACTTTTTTCCTTTTTTTGCAGAAATTGGTTTAAAGAAATTGAAGTTTCGCGTTATAACAACAGAGAGCCTCATTTACAAAATGCGATTCTTCGAACATTTTATCGCTCTGCTATTGTAGACGGCATCATCTGTCTTGTTTATATTGTACTTAAGTGAGTAACTGCTTGGGAATGTACAACCAATCCATTCAGAACTTTTGTTTATTTATTTACATTACTTCTGTTTCAGATCAGTAATATCCGCTGATTTGGCTCAATTGCTGTTGCAATTCGAAAGACCCTCGGCTATTAGAAATAGTTCACTGCTTTCGAATACCACTCATCGTCTTATACGTTCAATAGTCTCGACCAGGGGTAACAATGAAGATAACGGTAAGAATTATGTTTGTGTACATACACTACTATAATTTATTTAATTTCAAAACTCAATAATTAAGAAAAAAACTTTTTAGTCATTTCAGTTAACAAAAACGAAGCAACTACTCAAATAGAGGAAGAGAACTGGGTATTTGTAAAAAATTTTAATGAAATTCTTCACTTTGTCTGGAACAATGGGCATTGGTTAGTTTTTTCAACACTATTGGGATGTTTTCTTATACATCATGTGGATTTACGTCAGAGATTGTTAGGTGCACGCATGCATATAGCTTGCTGTTCAGATTATTCACGTGTGCTTACTCGTTGCACTTCAAATTTACGCAAACACCTAAGTATAGATTATTCTGCTGATAAGAACAAATTATTCACGCAAAATTCTTATAGTGACATTTTCGACGCAGATGCTGACGTGTCAACTTAACCTACTTTCCACTCCATGTCACTACAATTAAATAAAGTTTTTAAAATTCTCCAATGGAACATTAATGGACTTCTTAATAATTTTGATGAACTCCGTACACTCGTAAGTGATTTCAGTCCAACCCTTATATCGCTTCAAGAGACCCATTGTAGAACCTCCTTTAATCCTATTCCACCCAAATCATATACTGGATACTTCACGAATGCTGATCGAAATTTATATTCCAAACAAGTAATTGGTGTTTTTACAAAATCAAGTATACCTCACAAAAGCATAAATTTAAGCTCAAACATACAAGCCGTAGCGATACAAATAATTTTTAACGTAAAATTTACATTGCTTTCGCTCTATATCCTTGGGAAAAGCCTTTCCAAACAGTAGTGAAAGAAGCGCGAAGAAAGTACCTCGTGTTATCTGCTTATTTACTGGGAACTTAGATATACTTGTACTTCGTTATTATTGACCTTCACGTTTTGATCTAAGATTTCTTGAGTGCTTATGGAAGCAAAAAAGTCATTGTCATCTTCATCCCAATGATAATTTTTACTTATCACAATTTTACACTGACACTAAAGCAAAAAAATTTTAGATTAATTTAAATATTCCCACTTCACAGATTTTAAAAACAATTTACTTTCATTTACGTTGTACGTGTCCTCTTTCTCGATAACGTCGTAATCAAGATATGAAGTTTTTCCAAAGAAGAATGTACAAAGTTAGAGTTGTTAAAAAAAAATCGATAAAGAGCAACTTACTTTCCGAGATGGAATCGTATGACTTTTTGGAATTCAAATTTACGATGTGTTCGTCAATTAAAGTGTTATCGAATTGATTACAAACATTGGGAAGATGCTTATTGGTTTTGCATTGGAACAATGAAGATGAACATGTACTCATATTGTCCTCAATAGCGGCCTCGAATTTTTCCTCCAAATGTGATCTCGCCTTTTCTTTGAACTTACGGCTATAGTAACGTTTTGGTTTCTCCAGTAATATAAATAATGGGCTCCGTTCCAAATTTCTTAATTTACTCTCAGGTGATACTACAGGATTGTTAAAAAGCGTTGTAGAAAAGTCCTGAAATATTATATCTACTATTGTTTTATTGTTATTGTCACTACGAGCTCTTTGTGGTGCGTCTATATTGTTTACTGCTTTCATCATAACTTCCACTTTATTGCAACATTCGTTTAACTGTGTATCAGTGATATGAAATTCATTTCCATTCGTCCATGACTCAGCAGATTGTGATAATTATTCATGACATGACGTAAATTTTGCGAGGCTGTCAAATTGTCAAAATTGGCTATTGACGTTTGCACATAACACCGGGAATCAGCTAAGGACATTATTTTATCTTCGTATCGACTCACATTTTTTTGTAAAGCGGCATCTTTTTGAATTACGAATGTTTTATTGATATCACAATCGTTCGGGCCGTCTAAGCAACTTTCTTCACCTATGTTTTCATAGAAATCAAGTCGGGCAGGTTGGCACAGTTTCCTATCATTAAACTGAGAAGAACTTATACTACATTTCTACAGTTTATGTTTCCTTTGCATTCGCTTCTGATAGACAGATGTGTAGGAACTTTGGGGACTTGATCCTATGCTTTCATCCATTTTCAAAATTTAATAAATTGATTTGCAATTGTTTAGTTCTACAGTCATTGTGCGCTATGCTTGCGGATACTCGAAATCCAGTGGAAATGGGGCATTCAGAAATGAGAAACCATTTGCTTGCCCGGTTCCGGGATGAGAGAAACGTTACATGAGTCGTGCTGGAATTAAGTATCACTCGAAAAAGGGGCATAAAAATAATGGAAAAGTACGCAAACGGTATAAGTGTCAATGTGGCAATAGCTATATGAAGTTGTAGAGCGCCGCGCCAACGGTTGCGAATTTACCCATTTTAGCGCATTGTACCTGCTCTTCCGATCTTTCATGAAAATGTGTGTAGATTATATATAATAGTATAGCACACCTTTACATAAATCGACACATCTGTTCACCATGCTTCTGGCCTGAGAATGAATATCGTTATATTTCCTTTTAGTTGGGTCAACTGCATTTTTATACGACGTCATTAACCATGGTTCCAAAGAGTATCCGCTACCACCTGAAAGATTTTGAATAATACAGTTACGTAGCACTTGACACTATCTTGCTGCTTACCAAGGAGCCAACCATTACTTTCATTCATATTGTTGTTGTACAATTACCGGGCGTTCTTGAAAACTGAAAAAATAAAATTTTTTTTTTCAAAGTTTTTACATCTTTTCCTAAATAATTTAATATTTTTCCTTGGGAAAACAGCTGATCATGGTATTGCACAATCAAATTTGTTTGTTTAGAAATTGTAAATAAACCGAGGCGCAACCAAATGGTTGTTTATAAATTGAAAATAAACCGGGGCGCACCTAAGCAAGGAGATACATCAGAGTCTTTTAAGATTGCGTTAACTAAATCGTATTGCTTAAATGTTTTGATTTGATAAATATATTTAAAATTGGAAATATTATTATTATTATTATTATTTTAATTTTAGACTAATGAATTGAATTCTTAGACTAAAAAAAAAAAAAGACATTGAGCACTAGCAACACAGGCTATCGGCTCTAATTTAAAAAAAAAAAGGATATTAGATAATAAGCTTAGTAGTATTAATAAAGTAAAATATTGAATTGATATTCTGTTCTGAAGTTGATTGTAGAATATTCAAAGGGTTAATCGTTCCAAATGCAATACTTCTAGCCAAGGAAAAGTTGGGGCAGTCGCAGAGAATGTGCTTTATAGTAAGAGTTTGTCCACAACAACAGATTGGGGGAGAAGACTTCTTCAGGATCCATTGGTGAGTTGCAAT